CTGTCAGTCGGCCTAGCAGGAGCCCAGGAAGAGAGCACACGCTAGCTGAGAGTCTCACATCTGTCTGGTACCTACATCTGACAGCAAGTGTGCTTCTTACAGCTCCGTCTCGTTGTGGGGCGCAGCAGAAAGCACGCGCGGCAGAGCGCTCTTTCCTCATTTTTTTGTTCCGCTTGATGTGGAAAGCTATTTTAATTACTCTCAGATTTTGAAATGGTTCTAACTGCTTGTTTTCATATTTCCAATTCTGAAACACAATGAGCACATGGCATAATAGAGCTAGATAAGTTTATGGTTTACAATTTATCTGCTCTGCCTGTGGAGGGATTGACTCTGTGGTGGTACTCAACTCCTCACATCACCCCAGCATGAGCATTTGCCCTTTGTACTCCGTCGTCTATCACTTAACAATTCGCAGCGAATGTGTAAAACCAGTCATTTAAGGGGAACTGCAGTCCCATTTTCTCAGACGGGTTTTCGAATCTCGGTAACAAAATCAATTCATTGACGTTACAGAAAACGTGTACAAATTTCAAATTAAGCACAGACTTGTGAACTTTGTAAAAGAACCGGACGTACTGCACAGCCATCATGTTGTCGAGAGTTCTCACGATGACGTTCTCATTGCGACGTGATGCGGCCCCTTTCTGCTCACTAGTCACCGTAATAACTAATGTTATTTTTGTTATTATGTCCGAGTGAATAAGTACAGGTTGTGCAGCAGACTTTTCACCGCAGAAATGTTCCAACACAATCTGCACGCAGAGTTAACAAATTAGTAGTGTTTGACGGCAAAACTCTCAAAGCAGAGAGCAGTATTTCTGTTGGATGTATTAACAATATTACAGGGCCGCGTGTCAATGGAAGTTTTGTCGCTTCGTTCTGAATCACAGAACATGGCGCTGCGCAGACCTGGATATTTTGACTATTTTGTGAGGTAAACTGGAGGTTTTACAAGTTACTGTGTACATTTTAATTTCATTGCGGTTTGAAATGCACTCACCCATGCTGTTTCTTTGTAACCCCAAAATATAAAAATAGCATTGCAGTTCCCATAACTATTCTTTTAACGTTATCAAAACGTTTAACAATATCCAAACCCTTCAAAAAATGTATTTATTAATATTGCTGCATGTATCGACTAGTGAAGCCCCTTGTTCCAGGAACCCAAGCACGTTGGTTAGGCAAGATTTAATTTTCGAAATCTGTGTTGATAAGTCCCTTGGATATTATTTTCATGTAGGTGATCCTCTGGTTTAGTTCTAATTGTTTCCATGATGTGACATGGAACCG